ACTTAAGAACAAATCTGTGCGTACGAACGGTTCTTGTATGAGGCCCAATGAGTGGGCAGAAGTATATACTTAACCCACCACTTCTCCTTCAACCTTATTCCCATAACTTCTTACTCCTCCATAAAAATATTCTTAATTTCTTAAAAATTAATGTATCCAACAACACTATCACTTGCAACTAGGGTGTCCCAATCTGACATTGATATCGGATATCGGTCCGATATCAGCCAAAAAAACAACTATCGGATTTTATGGGCCTGCATCTAAAATCTCTGATAAATAAGCACTCTGAGAGAAGCGGCCCACTGACTTCGCTCCAGCATTTCTATCCAGCAGCGCTTGGATCCAGCATGCAGAGCCAACGTGRTCACAACAACACGCTGCGGTAACAAAGTAGCAAGAAGTAGGAGCGATGTTGGCAGTACTTTCTGTTTTCATTTGCAACCCAATAGTCTCAGCTCCGCTCCGACACACTGAGGAGGAAGGGTATGCAGGAAGGAGATCATGCAATAAATCCAGTGATAAATGTGGAGGTCAGAACAAAAATTAATAAATTCTGTGAAAGACAAACTGCAAAATCTGCTAAAAACATTGACATAAAAACTTTTGATATCTATGGTTGAAAGTGTATCGCTGTAGTCTTTTTGAAACTTCTGATTTCAAAATAAAATCCACRTGTATCGTGTGTGTGCACATATGCTTCATGCTACATGTTGCCATCTGCTTCCCAAACAGAACGATACATTCTGACAGCATTTATGTAGAAATATATCCATATATTTATTAATATAGCTGGGATTATGGATGTTGTGCTCGTTCCTCTTCCTGTTGGTGCGACGTAATCTTTAAAAATTGACTCCGGCGTCCGGCAGAAATAGGATTGGATCTAATTTTGCCGGCACCGTCCACTCACCGCCGCCGTGCAGAGCCAGTGTAACCACTCTCATTGATTAGAATGGGTGCATATTTGCTGCARAGGTTGGAGCGGAGCCGGACCACATGTAGTGTAAATAAGTGGTTACGAATTTGACATCAGCAGAATGCTGCCCGTGGATTAGCTCTGGGATTGATTGACAGAAGAAAGGAGAGCGCAGCTTTTGTTTTGAAATACGAGCGAACAGTGCCAAAACTGTGCTCCCTGCAGCAGTGAGAGGCTAATCTCCACATGATGCATGATTTATTTTTTGCTCGTTATTAGAGTGATGCTTAATCTGTTAACACACTTGTTTTAGTGTAGATTAAGTGCAATGACCACGTTGTTTTGGGCACAGTCAGTTAAGCTGGACCTGTGGACTCTTAACTTTGAACAGTTGGACATTGAAACATAATGTGGGGTTTTGTTTTGTCCCCACCTTCAGTTTTTCCCACCATAAAGAGGCACCAGACTGACAGATAGTAAAAAAAACATTTTGATTGACTTTGAATTGTTATTTTACACTTTAAAAGTAAATTTTGTTTTTATTTTGTTTCATTTTTCAGGGTATTCTAATTCATTTAATTTATTTTATTAAATTGAATAATGTTCTTCACTTTAAAATGTATGTGATCCATTGGTTAAAAATAAATGGGTCAATTTTTCTCATACCTACTCTTTTTCACTGTTTGACTCGATCAAGACTTTTATAAGATTTTACACTATGGTGGAACTAATACTTTTAGGTTTAAGCCAGTAATTCATGACACACTTTAATGACCAGTCTGATGTTGTTCTCTGTGTTTCCTGTTGTTGCAATAAAACTCAGCTGATCATTCCATGAACTACCTTCATTCTTGGACCACATATTTCTGTCTTTGTTAAATAAATATTTCCATAACACACACTAAAAAATAGGTAAAAGTTTGTGATTCATACTGATATGGTATCGGGCCAATATCAGTATCGGACAATTCTCAAAGTTGCAATATTGGTATTTTATCGGAAGTGAAAAAGTTGCACTGGGACACCCCTACTTGCAACTACTTTTTGTTTAAAAGCCATTAAACTTGAGACAGTTTTGTTTCAAGATTAAACTGTCAATTTACAAGTTTTCCCTTAAAACTTATTTGAGAAAAAATAAAGTAAATTTGTATTTTGCAACACAGTTGAACAATTTTCATTATTTAAGAGCAGATCAAATCAAATCAAATCGTGATTAATCGATTCAGAACCTTATAAATCGTAAYTGAATCGATTTCAGGCAACTAGCCATGATACCCAGCCCTTGTTTAAAGACACATTCACATGTAAACACCACAAAAAAATAAAATAAAAAAACAAAAATAAAACTCACTTGTGATCTGACTCTGATAATCGTCAAAAGAACGAAGCACTCCTTCGAGCTTAGTGATGGTAGCAGTCAGCTCATCCTTCTTCCTTGACAGTTCAGACATTTTTCTTTGGTTTTCAGCATCTAAATTTAATAAAGAGAAGCAGACAAGCATGATGAACAACAACTTTAATTTGGAGTATGTTTTAGTTCTTGCTTCTGAACACCTTTCACAGTTGTAAGCTTTCAATGAACACTACTGACARGGTCAGTTAGGCGTCCACAATAAGAGACATTGTTCTGCAGCAGTTTTATACAAGCCTTGTTAGTGAATATTTGTCCACTGTACCATTGTAAAAATGGAAGGGAAGCTCAAAAGAAGCCTGGGACAAGGCACATGTCTGCACTTTGGCTGTAAAGACGGCAATGTATCTGCTGCCGTTCTCACCGGGGCTGTTCTCCATGATAGCCAGTCTCTGAGAACAGAGATTAGCATCGATATCAAATGCAGAGCTGTACAAACACAGAATGAATAAAATGGATTTCATTTGAGAAATTCTACTCACACTAATGTGGGAACTTCCGTCTTTTAGGATAATTTGAATGCTGCTTGTTTTCCCTTCAAATAGAGGAAGGTTTCTGCTCTCTTCACCTTCAGGACATCTTATCGACACAACCACCTTCCCTTTCAGGTCCTGTCCAGCTGAATTACCAAAGTTGTCCTGGAATGAAGAAAATAATTTAGTGTCATTTAGGGTGTCAATACATTTCACATGAAATAAATCTGTTAAAGTGAATCATATTAATCAGAAAGTCGACATTTTCATTTGTCTGTAGTAAGTGAATTTTGGGTCTTCTGGGAAAAACAGCTCACCATTATCTTCAGAGTCATGTTCTCAACCAGGATTCGGCTGGAGATGTCGGTACTGTAGGAAACAACAGGGGTTGGTGGCTGAGACTCAGGTCCCAGTTTGACAGGCTGATTGGCCACAACATTTATGCTGATCTGGGAAATGAAAAACACTTAGGTTGGACGGTGTTCTACAGCCCTGCAAAGCTTTCAACAATTACATCTCTCTTGGCTTAAAAAAATGAAGAACAAACTTTTGCATACATGTATAACACCTTCATTTTTTAAATAATCTTCCTGAATTTATTTTATTTTACAAGAAGCTGTTTTAGGGTTTCAAATGGGACCCAAATTTGAACTTGGGTTTGATTTTCTACGGAATCTTCTTCATTTGTTTGAATCAATAAAAGACGATCTTCACAGTTAATCGATCTTAGCTTAGTCAACACAAAAATAGCTATAGCTAGGCTTAGGCTGGTTTGACGGTATTTTGGTATACCGTGGTATTAAAATATTGACGGTATTTAAAAACTTGATGTAATTGTCACGTGAGGTGATGCAATAAATTTCCACAAGGCTGCTATGAAAGCTGGGACATAAACACTCTAGGCTCTTTCAAGAGCATGTTCCATGGGTTAAAGCGAAAAAAAATCTTTACTGAAATATTTTTCATTCAGAACATACCATTGTGCCAAGCAATGACGACCCTCAACTGGATGTTTAAAACTAAGAACATTAAAAACTTTACCCAGTAAACAGGTAAAATACTGATAACCACCAACAGTGAATTTAGGAGGCATTTCTTTGCCTGATTTAATGACAGGTCCACTCATAACAAACTGACATGGCATCATGCAGCCTTCAGAACACAAACTAACTCTGTGCCAAACAATGGTGACATAAAGAAAATAACTTTTGTCAGTGTTGTCAGCTTGTATTATGAAAAACTGATACATGGATGTTTGGAACTGGTTAGAACACAAATGATGGATGGACATATTTATTTATTGACCTTTATTTGACCAGACAAATCCTAATTATTTATTTGAAAATTATAGCAAATATCTGTCTGTTGCACAGAACTAAATAACTTGAAAATACATTTTTTATTAGTTAGATTTATTTTTTTAAATTACTATTTTTAAAACTGTTATTTAAATTGTTCAAGCTCATGTAATCATTTAATACTGTTTATACATATTTGATCATTTATTGAATTACATTTATCACAGTATAGATCTAAATATAAACAAGCAGTGAAAAATGAAATTGGTAAACTACAGAAACATTTGAAACACGCTCACCTGGAGAACATGGTGCTGTTCTCCTGGCGAGAATGAGGAGATAAACGTTAAACGGAGACTCATCTTTGCTTTAATGTGGGACAAACAAATGTCCGTCAGTGAATCTGACTCGCATCATGCACGCTGGGGCGCACCAGGCGGTCTCAGCTTGGTTCATATTTTGGTACACACGTAGAACGCATGCATCCTAATCAGCAATGGAGGGGTTTATATTTGGCGCTTACGTTATTGTAGTAAAACAGGACATGTGGCAGAACACTTTATAACTTGTGAAATGTAGAATAGGAGAGCAAAAGCAACACGGACAAACAAACTGAATTTTGCGCGTCGCGCGCAGCCTTTGCACAACGAGCTTGGTCACGCACGCAAAGTTGTACATATCTGTTGGATAACGGCGCTCTGAGCCCAAATATTTAATATAAAGTTAACTTTTATAGACCAAAGTCCAAGGAGTGAAATGAGGGAGGAGCGGTTTCACTCAGGACTGACCGCTGCACTGCTCCTGCAGACTTCTTACCTGCTGGCTTTACTGACCCRCCCTCCGCTGCTTCGCTCTGATTGGATAAAAGTGTGCTGGGGTTTGTTTCATTTGTTGGAAGTAGTGGTGCGTTTAGGGGTAAACTGGGGCGGGTTTAACATCACCGCAACAGTGCCCCCCCCCTTACGGATGATGGAAATCTGTATCTGTCCTGGCYACATTCAAAGTGACGGAAATCCGTGGTAGTGACAGAGAACTTTAAGCCCTGATGTTCTGACCACTTTGGCTCATTCAAAAGACAAGCCAGGGGGCAGAGAAACCCCCATCTGTCATGCCTCTGAACTGAGAGGTGGTGACAGAAAYGTTTTCTGAAAAGGTGGGCCATTATAGTGCTGACTGACAGCAACAGGGATCACCCAGACACAGGTTTCTTAMATCAAACCACCATAGCTGGATTACTTTTGGATTTAAACTTTCAGCCTTTTTTTTTTTTTTTCAATTTTGTGTTGAGACAAGCAAGATCCTTGCTGCAGACGAAGAAATGACACAGGCACAAAAACTGGCTAAAAGTATGCTGCAGTGCAGGTACAACCATGGTAAGACTCAGATTATTTTTGAAAATTAAAATCATAAAAAGACGTATTTGACCGTATTTTGATCTGTTCAACATAATAAGTATATACTGTATATAC